GGCGCTGCTACTTTCTGTTCTCGATTCCGCCCACTTCTGCAGCCTTGAGGAGCAGAGAAGCCACGCGTCTGTCCTGCCTTCCAAGGCGAACCCCCTGCTACGAGTGACCCCCAGCCCTGTCGGCTTCAGCACACCAGGGCGGCCCCCCAAGAAGAGGCAGAAGGGGTTTCCCACCGCATCGTGCCTTCCTCAGCAATCATCCGCCAGGAAAATTCCACTCCGTTTATAAGCCCCTGCCTCGCCTGTCCCTTCAGGGCCCACCTGAGGGGAGCTACCCTTCAAGCCCCCCGCCCCCCCATCACTTATTCCCCGGCATCTACCCACAGGCCTCCCGGTGGGTGGCAGCCATGGGGAAGGGGGGGGCAAGGTGGGTAACAGCGCTTTCAGAGACCGCCCGTTGCTGAACCCCGTCTCAAGCTTCACTTGGGGAGCGATCCCAATGTGAGTTGTGCCCAGCCCAGGAAGCACCTGCTGCCATACATTGGTTCGTCTCTAAGGTGTGGAAGGCTTTCCGTTGCTTTTGCAACTGCAGACTAACACAGCTCCCCCTCTTTGGTATTTTCAGCCACTCTAAAGCAGTGCCGGCAAAACAGAGTCAGAATCTGGAGGCACTGCTAGACCAGAGAAACGGTTTAGGCAGTCCCACATTGGGCCACCTTAAAGGACTGCTAACCAGAGCAAAATGTGATGCCCCACAGCACTTCAAGCACTCTCTGGGTGGTTAACAATTTAATTCTGGAGGCTACACACTGCCCCCCCTCCTGCCAGCTAGCTGGGTACTCAATACCAACCTGAGAAGGATGGAAAGCTGAGTCCACCTTGACCCGGTTACCTGAGCCCAGAGGGAGCAGAGTCTTGACTGCAGTACTCCAGTCTAACCACTGCACCACAAGGCCAGCAGGAAGCCCCACAGGAAGGCCCAGAGCCCCTAAGCCCTCCCCCACTGTTGCCCACCAGCATGGGTGTTCCGTGGCACACTGTGTGTCTTGCATCTTCCATGGTCAAACGAAGCCAAGACTTTGCCCAGCCCTTCTGCAATCTTGCGCTCCCCCTTCAAGAACACACGCTACCTCCTCCCCACCAGTACTGTATTGTCGAACAGGCCAGCCCTATCCTGGCACCTTTTCTCAAGCTTTCATGCTGGCTCTGACCTTTTTCAGAACAGGCCGCTCCATTTCCTTCTTAAACCCTGCCTTTCATGTGTTTTGCTTCCTGCTGTGCCCTGATCGCCTTGCTTGGGTAAGACCACACCCTGTCTTCTCTCCCCCCCCCCACAATTTTGTAGCTTCCTTGGCTCTGCTCATGAAACACACCAGTGCCTTACTGGTTTTCGTGAATTCCCATCATGGCGGGAATAAATAACCTTCGAGGAGGCTGAACACTCCCACACAAGATCAACCTCCTCGTTGACGGTCTCCCACCCCGGCCATCCACATGTATGTCTCATGACAAGTCTCAGCATCACTCAGGATCAGGCCCAGATCGCTTCTGCTCTTGCTTGTGCTGCTACCCACCACCCCAGTGGCGCAGGGACACCAAACTGGGAAGGGTAGGTAATTCTTCCAAAGAGAGAATCAAGATCCAACATGACCTTAGCAGACGGAGAACAGACAAGACAGTTTCCAAGGGGGGAAATGCAAAGTTGTATACGGAAGCAGGAAAAACTGACTGAACACATGCAGGATGGGGGGGCTTGGCTTGGCAGCTGCTATTGTGAAAAGCATTTAGCTGTCTTGGGTCAACAGGGTGACACCTCTGCAAAAAATGACCAAGGCAACACTAGGCTGAACAATGGGAACTATCCTAGAATCACAGAAAAGTGAAGATGGAAGGGACCTATGAGGCCATCAAGTCCAACCCCCTGCTCAAGGCAGGAATACAAATCAAAGGATAACTATGGCACAGAGTTCAGGAAAAATAATAGCATCAGCCCACTACGACTCGGTCAGATCTTGTGTGTTCACTTCTGGCCACCACAGTTTTAAGGAGGATATTGAGAAGCTGGAACATGTCCAGAGGAGGGCAACTGGGAAGGTCTGGAAACCAAGCCCTACCAGCAAAGGTTGAGGGAGCATGACAGGTTCAGCCTGGAGAGGAGAAGGCCAAGAAGCAATAGGACAGCCGTCTACATACAAAGGGAAGGCCTGTCTCATGGAAGGCGGTTTTCCTGCATCCAGTCCTAAACTCCTGGATCCAAACTACCAAGATTGTGACTGTATTTCACAAAGAAGAGTATGAGAAAGAGAGAGAGGGACTCTCCTATTCAGCCCTGGAACGGGCTGCCCTGGACTGGGGCAGAGTCTCTTTCCCTGAAAGATCTTTTGTGATAACCGACATCCTTCCTCCTGGGTTGCGTGGCTACTTTCACAAGGCCAGAGACTCTTATCAACCAGCACACCCCAATTCTTGAAAAAGGCCATTGTGTGTCCCATGGAGGTTTTGCAAGACTCCTGCGTCTTTCTGGAAAACCAGATAGGAGTATACACAGAGATAACGTCACCATCTCGCTGTCCTTCCCAAGGAGTCTCTCATCAGGGTAGGATCCATCCGCCAGGAGCAGGATCCTCCCCGCCCCCCCATACCCAATACAGAAAGGGCAGCACCATAGGTGTTGGGGGGGCAGGATTAATAGTGCATATTTCATCTGGGAGGTAAACAAAGAGGTTCTCTTTTAACAGAGACCCCAAAACCCTGTTGATGTAAAGGAGGGTTATCTGGCTTTCAGGCAGCACAGTTCCCTTCGGTGGGCAGAATGGAAGAGACAGGCCAATTTCCCCTCTAAAGCAAAGAGGTTCTCTTTTAACAGAGACCCCACAACTCTGTTGATGTAAAGGGTTAGGGTTATCTGGCTTTCAGGCAGCACAGTTCCCTAGAGAGCCTTATCTGGCTTTCAGGCAGCACAGTTCCCTTCGGTGGGCAGAATGGAAGAGACAGGCCAATTTCCCCTCTAAAGAGAGAAAGAGTTTCTTCTTAACACAATTAATTTAAGTTAATATAAGTTAATTTAAGTTAATATAAATCCAATAAATAAATAAAATAAGTTACTTAAGAACTGCTGGATAGGTCAGAGAGTCTCTTGCTGCAGAGCCAGAGGCTGGGAGTTTGATTCCCCGCCCAGCCTCCTTGATAGGGGCTGGACCTGATAACAGACAGGGTCATTCCCCGCCCAGCAGTTCTAATATGATGATGATGGTGATGATGATGATGGCAGCTCATCACAGAAAGTTTTTGTAGCTTGGACAGGTAAATGCACGAAAACTCAAGGAAGGAATGTGTGTCGCTAATGATGTCACGGCCACTGCCTGTTCCAACAGTGGGCGGGAGGACTGTGAATGGCCACACCACCCTCACCGCCGGCCCTTGATCCTAATGGTCCCCCCTCCCCCTAGAAAAGGCTATTAATGGGAAGCTTCCCCTGAGCCACTATGGCATGGGGGGGGGCCTACCCTCCTCCCCAATGCCCAGTGTTGTGATCCTGATCCCGATCACGCCCTGTGACTATTTAAAGTTTAGAAGCTAAGCTTGTTAATTCCATTCACGTAATTAACATCGTGTCTCTCCTGGCCCTGAGCGGGAAGAAAACAGCTCCCTCGCCAGCGTCCACATCCAACCCCTTGCTAAGCTTCCACTTCAACGCAGGCAGGGGTTGACTCCAGGGGAGTCAGGTGCCTTTGCCTCTTGGCGCAGGAGGGCCCCAAGCAGGGCAGCCCACGAAGGAGCAGGGCACAGCTAGTCTGCCAGGGCCAACCGCGGGCATTTCGGGTGGCCGCAGACCTCACTGCCTGGCCTCTGGGATCCATACCCCACTGCAGCGGCTACGCAGGCCGGTCCTGACCCCGCCTGAGAGGGCAGGAGAGGGAGCCTGGTCTCCTGCTCACGCTCCGGACTATCGGCCTGAGAGACCCTTTTCTCATTCATGTTCTCCAGCACGAACACAAGGATGAGGAACGGCCCAGAGAGCTGCAAATCTCTGCCTCTTAACATGGCGAAGCCAAGGGGAAACAAAACCCCATTCCTGTGAGCTACTGAATGGGCAGAGTTCTCCAACAGTGGGGGTGGGGACGGGGGGGGTCAGGGAGGCAGAGGCGATCTAGCGCTCAGCCGGCCAGCCCAAAGTCCTCTTCAGCAGAAGTGGAGAAGCAGCGCAGGGGGCAGAGGTTAACCGCTGGAAGGAGCCTTACTTAGAACCCCACCCTACGCCCCCCCATGAGCAAACATCCAGTGTTTTGCAAGGCCTACAGGTCATGCCTTCCTTCAGACACGTCAGCTCCTCACAACCCTGCAGGATTTCTCCCAAGGCCCTCCTCCCCATCATTCAGAAGCAGAGCGAGTGGCTCGGGTGGCGCCAGAGGTCCAGCAATGGCGCAGAAGACTCTTTTGGCTGCTTATCCTGAGCAGCCGATGCTCCGCGGAGCTCCATACTCTATGCTCAGCCGGCTGGGGACAACACACAAGTTGCCGTTCAACCACACACCAGGAGGAGCGCACC